TAAAGCATCCCACGTTCGAGGGACATGATTATTAAAATCTGAGGCAACAAGTGTGGGCTACCCTAGAGGTGCATGTGTGCAAGGTGTTTTGTTTTCAAGTATTTTATCTTGAACTAGGGTTTTGCTAAGTTTGATTTTAAGTCTTGTCATGCAAACCCTAATTACTAACAATAATAAGGAAAGCGATAAGTTACAAAATTTTAAATGTCCTACGTTATTACAACACTTTGGGGATGGGGTACAAATTTACAAATGGGGATGGAAAGCAATAAAACCTTAATTATCTATTACAAACCATTTACATAAATGAAAATGCGAAACAATAAAAATGCGCAAATTATACAAAGTGAAGAAAGGAGAGAGGAATTTGTTTTTTTGGTGATTTTTGATGGAAAAAGGTTTAATCATTAATTAAACTAATTAATTTAAGTTAGAAAAGGAGTTAATTAATTAGTTAAATAAAACCTAAAAAATCTAGGTTAAATTGAAATTAATAAAAATAAAACTTAGGTCTACTAATTTTTAATTTGAAGGGAAGCTAATTGTTAGAATATATTTGAGATTGTATTTGTTTGAAAAAAAATAAATGGTGTAAAAATAAAGTAAAATAAAAGTGATTGAATTAAAATATTTTTAATCTAATTATTTAAAAAATATATTTTTTGTATTTTATTTAATGGATAGAAATCAAAATAATTAAACAAAGTAATATAATGAAAAACAAAATATAAAAGAAGGATAGAAAATGGGCATGAGATAAGTAAATCCAGGGGGTGCTGGGAACAAAAGTGTCCAAGGCCCAAAAGGCTTCATTGATCCAACGCCTGAAGCCTCTAAGGGTGGATGGTGGGGTGACATCATTAGAGCGCTTGATCTTGATCATAGAGATGTAGACGAAGGGTGTATGGTGAGTCCTGAGAGAGATGTTGTATGGAATACACAATTTGAACCAAATGGGCGATGACAAGTGTCATCTTCAGGTTAGCTTAATCAAACAAAAAACAATTTACATAAAACAAAATATATTAAAAACAAAACAAAAATATCTCTTCATTTCTTGTTTTACTCTCTCTCTCACTCTCTCTCTCTCTCTCTCTCTCTCTCTCTCTCTCTCTCTCTCTCTCTCTCTCTCTCTCTCTCTCTCTCTCTCTCTTTTGCTGGAATGCTCTTGTCTCTCTTTTAACTATTCTGGTGGGTCCTCGCCGAAGACGATGGGTTGACTGCACCTGAAATCACCTCCATGGAGGTGACGGCAGCGACGAAGCTCCGATCCTAAATTTTCTTACATTTTCTGATTCATCTCTTCTTCTTATTTACTAAACCGTGACTTGGTTTTGCATATTTTGAGCGATGAACCCTAGATCTAAAAGGGGAAATTTAAAACCCTAATTGCTCAGATTTGAAAACAGTGAAGACTATGATGATGGATGCGGAAATAGAAGCGAAAAAAAAAGGAAAGCAGAGAGACGGAGGCCGTGAGACTCGAAAGCGCAAGTTGCCACCCTTTGGTGAGATCTTTCTGTATTTGTCATTTCCGGTCTTTACGATTTGTTTCTGTTCTTCTTCCATTGCAATTTTTCCGACGGCTTTTTTTAGGAAATAGATGAACGGTTTAGGGTTTGTTTGGAAAATGATGAATGAAACAGACTTGGGGTTTATGGTTTGCTTTTTGTTGCTTCTGTATACCTTTATGTGAACTGTATGTTGGGCTTTTGCTGAAACTGTGAGCGATTTTTTTGAAAAGGTTTTTCAATCTAGGGTTTGTGGTTCTTTGCCACTGTGTTTCTGTATATTTTTTGTATGAACTATATGTTGGGCTTTCCCCTTCCGTAGACGATTTTGAAGGTTTTTTCCTCTCTTCCCATTTTGGTTCTGCAGTTGTGCTTTTGTATATTTTTGTGTGTACCCTGGCCTCGTGAATTGTCATTGTTGCTTGCTGGCTTTGTGAATTTTGGTTTTCTGTGATGCTTGCGTTTTCAAATGAGTTTGTACTTGTTGCTTGCTGGCTTCGTGAATTCTGGTTTTCTGTGATGCTTTTTCAACTGAGTTTGTACTTGTACAGTACATCACTTTTTTTTTTGAATTTTTAACTTTACTGTAAACCAAACAAATCTATTTATTCATTTGTTTGAGATTTGTAGTAAAGGGCTAGGCCTATGATTGTAGCTCTGACTTTTGTTTAAAACACAGTAATATGAGGCTTTTAATTGTTTCTTTGAAACATGATGTTGGACTTTAATGAGTTTGTAATTCTGATTTGTGATGCTTCATGTTGGGCTTGACAGTGAATTCTTGGTTGGGTTGTGATATTTTACTGTTACTGTGATGTTTGTTATTTTTCTTCTGAGTACTGAATTTTGAACTTTGTTTATTTGGGCCTTGAACCTGTAATTCTGACTTGCTGTAACTGGGCTGGTCTTGTGATTTTTGTACTTTGATATTGGGTTGGAACTGTGATAGAATTATGTTTTAAACCTTTTTTGAATTTGTCTATAGTGAACTAATTTGTTTGTGATTTTCAATAGATGAATTGCTTCTTATTGGCCTATGATTAAACCCACAATCTGACTATGTCCACATAAAATGAGGCTTTGTATTGCTTTGAAAATGATTTGAAAACACACTCCCTATAATCTGATTCCTTAAACAAAACACTAATGATGAAATTGAAGAGAAAACTCTTTAAAAATTTCTTGTTTATTGTTCAAGTTTTAATGATTTCTAACCCATTCTCTTTCTTGTTTCATGTATTTGGTGTGAGAGAATGGAGATTATACTTGAAGATGAAGGAGAGCAGTTGTAGAAGGTCAATGCTAAAGTTGGGCATGGAGAAAATGATAGTTTGAAGAAGACGTATAAGTTTTATAAATTAGGACTTAGGAACCTTTGTAGAAACTATAAACTCAGGACAACTCCTTTGTTATAAATAAACTTGTAACTTCAATATTTGATGTAGTAATCTTGTCCATTTGAGAAACTTGAATATCATGTAATCAATGTTGAACTTTGTACTACAATGTATTAAAACAGAACTTATAATTTTCAAAAGACATTGCAATCAAATATTTCATTTGTTATATTTGAATGGTAGCATGAATATTGAATGCAACATAGAACTTTGATCAAAGTAATGCATTTGAAATTTTCCTTGTTGAAATATTGTGAAACAAGTTTAAAATAACTTAGAAATTGTGCACTTGGAATTATAACATGGAAGCATGAAAAATGCCTTAGAATTAAACCAAACTTGTATTTATGCAATAGAATTTCTTGGTTCCACAATAAAAAGTTTGAGTTCTCTCTTCACTTCAAAATATTTGGCAAACAAGTTAGTTTTTCCTTCTTAAGTAGTGAAAGCACACAACAATAATTTCTCTCCAATGAATTTTTCTCTTGAATGAACATCTCAATTATATTAACACAAACGCATTGAATGATCTTTGAAGATGTGTGAGATTCGACATAAAGCTCCAGCAAATTATCCCTTGATAATTATCAACAAAACCCAAACCAAAATATGAGAAAACCCCAATCTCAAATTCAACTTTGGTTAACTTTCTTCACAACCAAACAATGTGTCATCAAAGATTCCACAAGCTCAACAGCTTTAATCATGAATCAAAACCTGAATTAAGATAAACGCAACTATCAAACCCTAATATTATGCAACCACTGAACCATGAACCTTGAGTGCTTAAAGCAATTAAAAAAACCTAGGAGTATGGAGGGATATTTTTTGAATTAGACGAAAGGGAAAATTTCGGGGTACAACACTATTATTTAAAAGAAAACATTTACATCTGAATACATGAAAATGTGATAAATTTGGTTTTATACCTTTTAAAAGTTCATAAGGAGATTTGTCAAGTATATGATGAATTCCGGGTATTAAATCTCTTTTTTCGGACTTTGCCGGGCTCTTCCCTTTCCTTTGAAAAATTGCCTCCAACAAGCTCTTGAAAGTCTTTGACTAAGCCTCCTTCCCGCTCTACTGGAAACTTTCCAATATGCTTCGAGTGCCTTAAATATAAATAAAAGATAAGAGGCAGAGGAAATATCGATTTCGATGGAAGCCAATTCAACCGCTTCGCCCCTATTCATTCTCTAAAGTAAAGGTATCGACAGAAAGAAGTCCCTAGCTTCAGAAGTGGCAGCAGTGCTCTCGTATATAAGAGAAAGGCTGCTTTTAGGAGTGATCCTTCCCTCTAACCGCTAACTCGAAATAAAATAAGCTAAGAGAGATGTGGCAAAGAAGGAATTTCAAGAGGTGCGTCGAGAAGTTCCATACCTTCTTGATAGAGTCCATAGCCTTGCTTGTACTTACTTAAGTAAAGATTGGCTTGGTGTTAAGTGTATAAAAAATAAACTATTTCAAATCATCCCTGCTCCTCGAAGTCTTTCTTCAATGTCAGAGAGTTTGATCGAGAAAGCTTGGGTGGACCCCTAACCATTAGCGCATTCTAAGATTAAGATGACTAATTGGCTGGAGTAGCAGAGGGAGAAAGGTGAATCCGCTCATGATGCGTGGAAAGTAGGGGAAGAGTCTGATGAAAAACCGTCTGCGATAGATCACGTCGAACTGAAGCACTTAAGAAAGAAGCTGATAACTTTTGGTTGATTTGATGCTCATTCTGACACGGTTCATATAAAGTCACAGCACAGACATAACCTGGTTGCTGCTACTAGTCAGGCTCATCAAATGCAAACACGGCTCTTGTTGGCCTTGGCCCGGCCGTCAACTGCTTCAACTGCAGATGCGGCTGACCTAGATCTAGATGTCCCATCAATAGCGAAGGAAGTGGCTAGAATACTTACTTCCAAAGATTACTACATAATGAGTTCTCTTTTTAATAGAATACCTTTCTACTCGGAAAGAAATGCTATGATACAATTAGCTCTAAGTACCTAAGTCCATAGATCGATCGCGAGCTGCGGCTTGCTTTGTTAGCATCTACGTAACGGCCTTGTTTGTTAAAGCGTTCCAACGACATCTTTTGCACATGGTCTCTACTGACACACACCTCTCCCCTGTAAATCCTCCTTATAACCTAACGGAAAGCCAACCTGAGTTAAACCTGACGTCAAAGACTAGCCGCTTAGACGGGTATAAGTACTAAAATACCATACATATGTAATGGACTACTTTTCATACTACTATCCTTCCTCGCTATGATAATAGGACTCTGTCAGCTTCCGCTGCTATGACGATATCGCTATTGATCGCGTAGCCATGACATACTCCTATCTTCTTGAGAGCTAGGGATATGGAAAAAGATCCGTAAATTCCCCCGCTTTCAGAGATTCCAACTCCTAAAGGAAGAAGTTCCCCTTCGAAAGTGGCTTCGTGAGTTCGAATACCAAGCCTCTTTTATCATTCCCCTTAAGAAATCCTTCCGGGAGAAATGATGGCACCGCCCCGACATAGAATGGAATTGATGAGGTTTACCCAGATCTTTATCTTCTATCCATGAAGAGCTCGTGACTCTGCGCCCGCATGAGTGAAGGGAAATGCTAGTTTATGTATTTCCAGGTTCACCCGTGAAGGTAGAAAGATTCTTGTTTCTTTCCCCTTTCCTAATAGGTCAGGACCGCCCCTTTCTGAAGACTTGCAAGTGAGGCGGAATGGGATTCATGCAGAGAGGCTAGAGTGGAATACTTGTAACGAGCCGGAGAGGAGACTGTGGCACTGACTTTCGGAATGCGCAGGGGAGAAATCCCAAAGCAAATGCAAAGAAGAAGCTCTTAGATGTTTATCCAGTCTGGACATAAAATCCTTCCGGTCAGCAAAAGAAAAGGAAAAGGTTTAGCGTAGCCCAGAATCCACTCTTCTTGATTGAATCCCCTGAGAAGCTGTTGTACCAATTGCAACAGTCTTAAGGCCATTAGTTGGAGTGCTAAGTGCTGCTTTGCCTATCTATTCTATTCTGCTACTTTTTTCTTACATCCAGTGCTACATCTAGAGGTCCAGTCCCCTGGGTCATTTGATATCTCTAGTCTGAGTTCCGTTCAACAAGCCAGTTCTGTTAGATCGCTTACAGTCCCCGTAGTGTCCAGTAGCTGTCTCTTTTTCTTACCGGCAAGCGGCTTGAAAAAAAAGTTAAGATATCTCCATCCGGTGGGAGTTGCTATCCATATAGTTCAATGGCAGTTCTACTTGCAGCCATTGAGAGTTATCTTGCATCCGCTTTCCATCCAGCAGAGTCAGGGGCAAAAGGATCTGACGCAAGTTGGAGCTAAGGATCGACAGAAAGCTAGGGTTTTTCGTGCTTATCCCTTCTTATCCGGAACTAAGGAGTTAACGATATATCGCTTAAGGATATATCTAGCCAAGCGATTCACCTGATCCAGACACGCTAATAGGCGGCTTTGAAGATAGTAAGTAAGAGTAGTGGCATTCTCATCAAAAGGATAAGTAAGTTCGCAATCCAGTGATAAAGTGAAAAAAAGGTGCTTTTTTCTGCGCATATTCCCTGGTTAGGATATGCATATAATATTATAGGTTACAGTTTCTAATATATAGGATTGATTCTGGCTTCTGTAGGACTACTAACTAGACTATTCTCTTCTCTCCGCTAAAAACGTAGGAAGGAAATCTGTGCGAAGGCTTTCTGTGGGTAAGGCAAAGGTAGATGTAAGATTGCGATATGTGTCTTACCTTGGTAATTCCTTTATTTACCTAGTGGGTCTAACTAGATTTTCTGTCTAAGGAAGAGGAGAATCGCCCTAAAGAGCCTGCCTATATCGGAGGAGTCTCCGGTACTGATTTCCTTGTTTTCGCTTCTGGGCTTAACCAAGCCAGGGCGAATAAGGGATGCATTCATTTTCATTGTGAGTGTAAACCCTTAAGAGCCGTCGGCCATAAGACTTTGGGCATCAAGAGTGCTCCAGTAGCATTGGTGGAACAATCGAAAGACCATTATGAGGATTGGGAAAAACCTACATATGGAAGATGATATGCCACAAGAATCCCCCAAGATGACAACAGATTAAGACCTAGGATCAATGCCCCCAAAACAGTCCCTGAACTACCGCCTTCAAATTTCCATTCCCGGATCACAGAAGGCAGACTAATCAACCAGGTCTGGTCTTACCTAGGAAGGACACCTCTCCTATTTCAGTCATACCTCGTCCCAGAAGTAGAGAGGAGTCCATCTCAATCAAAAGGAAAAGAAAGATGTACTACCTTCACTCTTTCAGAACCTCTCCTACTAAGTCGTACACCTTTTGCCCAAATCCCTTCGCTATTGAGCAGATAGAGTCAGACTTTCTTCGTAAGGAATCGGACTAAGAGGATTTCAATTCCATTTCCATAGAGCAGATCCAGTAAGACAGTATACTTTCGTGCTCTTTCTATCTATTTACAATGACTGAGAGTCGCTCAAGCGAGCAGGCACGTATAGGGCAGCGCCTTCTACCTTCCTAAAATAGGAAAAGACCAGTCCTTCTACATCTCAAGGGCATGCATGCCCTATAGACCTAGTCTATCGGCTATAGCTGCAGCTATGACTGACCAATAAATTGAAAGCTCTAACTAAAAAAGAAGTCCCAGGGCTTATTCCCTTTTCAAGGTCTTGTAGCCAGACTGATCCAGTCATCTATATCTCGTTTCGCCCCTTTAGCTCTCCCCAGTCCAAGATCTTATTGAAAGAGCCACAGCTTCTTCAAATTAAATAGCAAAGGATATTCACCCGGCTACTCAATCTTCTCTCTTTCACTCCTTCAAGGCCTCTTTCAAGCTAAGAAGACTCCTTTCAAGGTTATCCATATTCTTATCTGCAGATCGGAGTCGTTCACTGCCAAAGGCGGGGAAAGCTAAGAGAGAAAGGCCGGTAGGAGAGCAAGCGGTGGTCCAAGGAAGACTCAGACTATAAGAAGAAGGGGCTTTCAAAGGCTCTGTCTTTCGACACTGAATCTTTTGACAGATAGGCATCTACGAATTCATATGGGCACGAGAACCGATCCTCATGAGGAGATCCCCTAACGAGGCCCCAAACTAGCGAGACAGCGAAGGATTTGAGCCTTGTTGTGATTCCCCCTTAATCAACCTTTCATCTTTGTTCTCCTCTACGCAGTTTGACGACTTCCTTTGAGGAAATGATTGGACACCAACCAGATGGCACATTCCGAACGGAGAATCCAGCCTAATTAGTGATTCCCTTTGGTGGGACTAATCCAACTATAGATTTGACTCTTGAGTATCCAACTCCACTAAAACACGATTTTTACGTTCCACGACATTATTTTGTTGTTGAGTTCTAAGAGCTAAAAAGTTATGTTCAATACAAAATTTATCATAACATTATTCAAAGTGGTGGTTTTCAAATTCAATTCCATGATCATTTTGAATGGAAACTATTTTTGAATTCAATTTATTTTGAGATAACTTGGCAAAACGTGTGAAAGCTGAGAATGTTTCATTTTTAATATGTAAGAAAATAGTCCAATAAAATCTTGAGTAATCATCCATAATAACCAAATCATAGTAATTACCACATATGTTTTTGGTATGTGAAGGTCCAACCAAATCCATGTGAAGGAGCTTAAGAGGTCTCGATGTTAAAACAATATTTTTACATTTAAAAGAGACTCTTGTTTGCTTACCCTTTTTACATGTATCACATAGGTGATCTTTTGAAAACATTATCTTAGATAGACCAATTACTAAATCTTTTGAAACTATTTTATTAAGTAGATCAAAGTTAACATGTGACAAACGTCTATGCCATAGCCAAGAGTCTTCATTCATGGTAAGAAGACACTGGGAATTATTCAAGGAAACTTCTCTTAATTCAAGCATATAGATATTATTAACCCTCACACCATTAAACATACATATCCTTCTTTTCATTATGTTCAATTATGCAACAACTTTTGGCAAAAGTTACCTTATACTCATTGTCACATAATAGACTAATAATAAGAAGACTTTGTCTAAGGCTTTCAACTAACATAACATTTGAGATAGTAATAGTTGAGGGATTACCTAAAATATATTTTCCAAGTATCGCACCTTTGTTGTGATCAACGTAGGACACAAAACCTTTCTTCTTAGCCACAAAGTTGGAGAATGGATATATGTCTTTCGTTATGTGTCTAGAACATCCACTATCAAGAATCCATTTTCCCGTCATAGCGTCAAGACACTCAACCTACAAAAAATCAAGCAAAGGTGGTAGGTATCCAATTCTCAATGGTTCCTTGGGAGTGAGTGAAATAATTGTTGCTTTGGGGAAACCATTGGAAATTGCCTTTAGGAAATAAAAAGCACCTAAATTTGTATTTTTCAATTATATGGCCTTTCTTGCAACAATAGTGATAAAACAAATCATGATGATGTTTACTTTTGCTATTTGTATATCTTTTATCAAATTATAATTTTTGTGAAGCTTTTTAACCTTTGGAGAATTAATAGAAAAAATGTCATGAGATTATGATGCCTTGTCCACTTGGTCTTCAAGAGTACTCACCTCTTGTTGCCGATTTTGACAAGTTTCACAACAGAACCGACTAGGTTCCTCATCCTCATTTTCATAATTTTTACCATCTACAATAGATCGCTTTAATGGTTCAAATTCATTATTGGTTTCTTCAACCTTTACTTCCAAGTATGTAAAAACTTTTTAATTGGAAGCAAGTTTCTCAGAAGCATATAATGTTTCTTTTTGTAGATTATTAAAAATTATTTTTAATTCCATAAAAGACAACTTATCATTATTAGCATATTTAGAATGACTTACATTCTTTTTCTTGCTTTGGTATTGATTTTCCATGAAACAATAGTTTGCTCCTCATCGTTATCACTTGAGATTTCATCACTTGAGACATCGCTATCACTATCCAAAGCAACATGGGCTTTTCTAGAATTTCTAGAGTTATTTCTTTGGCCTTTTCCTTTCTTATTGGAAAGAGATGGACACTCTGGTCTATAATGACTTGGCTTTCCGCATTCATAGCATATATATTTTCCCTTATCCTTTTTGTTGTCTCTGTTTTTAGAGGGTGTGGATTATCTTATAAATTTCAAAAGATTATCATCAGAGTGTTTGACACCATTCTTCCTAATGTATCAACTGTATCTCTTTATAAATAATCTCATTTGTTCATCATCTGAATCTTCTTCATCACTAGAATCACTATCATTAGTGTGTTCATCCTTTGAGGACTTTGAACTTGAAGCCTTAAGAGATTTAGACTTCAATACTTCCTCCTTATTGGTGTCTTTATCCTTTTTCTTCTTTTTCTCAAGATTCTTTTCATGTTTTTCCAAACAATTGAGTTCTTGCTCGTGTTCTTCTAGCTTTCCAAACAAAGCGGTGAGATCAAGTGTTGCAAGATTATTGGCTTCCATGATCGCGGTGACCTTTGGTTGCTAATTCCTAGTAAGATATCTCAAAATCTTGTTAGTAGTAATAGCATTGGAAATATGATTACCTAGAAAATTTAAACGATTAATAAGATGCGAGAGCCGCTTTTGCATTTGAGCAATGGTTTCACCATGCTTCATGCGAAAGAGTTCAAAATATTGATTAAGTGTATTAATCCTAGCTTATTTGACCTTATTAGTTCCCTCATAGGTAACTTGTAGAGCATCCCATATAGCTTTAGCAGTTTGACAATGAGAAATGCGATAAAACTCATCAACACCCAAAACAGATATGATAATATTTATCGCTTTTCAATCGTATGCCCACATCTTATTATCATCCTCATCCCATAAGTTTTCTGGCTTTGGTACAGTAGCACCATCAACAACATATGTCACCAGTGTTGGGCCATTTTTAATGGCTTCCCACATAACTTTGAATGGCTTTCCAATAACTATAGTTTTCTCCCGTGAAAATTGGGGCTCTTTTATAATCCCCTTTAGGTTCGTACACCATTTTCTAATAAGTTTCGAAGCCAGAATGAATCGGGCTCTTGATGCCACTTGTTAGATGATGACAATGTATCTAGAGGGGGTGAATAGATACTCAATTAAAGTTTCTGGAAAAATTATGGTTTTGAAAATTTTATTTATCAAAGAGTTTGAGCGGAAGGTTTTCAAAAAGAGTCATCTATACGAACCATTATTGGAAGTCAGATATGCAAATATAACAAATAAATTATGGAATGAAATTGATAAATGGAATTAATATGCTTCGATCAATTTACAACTTATTTAACGTTTATAGCAAGTTACTAGTAATGCTATTTCCAATGAAAATAATCAAAAAACTAAACTGAATAATTTTATCGAACACTTGGCATGTAGATTTTTCAAAATTATCCTTTGAGTTAAACAAGCTACACAATTTGTAAAACACTTGGTGTGCAGTCAAAGTTTCAGAATTTTTCTTTGAGTTATGTTGATATGAAAAAGAACTTATAGTCAAAAGTGATTATAAGCAAATTAACACACAATTCAAGACAAAAAATGGTATCAAAAAATTCCTACGCGTCGATCGATTACTCAATGCTATTTAACAAATTGATGTATGAAAATTAAAAACAAGTAAAGCAATAAGAGAAAAGAGACACAAGGATTTGTCTTTACAGTTCCCCATTTCATCCTCGTGTGTGGGTACGTCTGTGCCTAATTCCAATGGAATCAGGATAATTCTTACTATGCAAAAAGTTGATACAAGAGAAGTGTTCAAGAGAAACTCGACAAACCATAATGCTTGTTGTTAATTCAACCCTTTATCTTCCTTTGATCTTGAGAAAGGCCAAGACACAATAGATGCCAATTGGTTATCTAGATCTTGCTACTACTTTACATACTTTATCTCTAAAACTTCCGCGCACCACCAATTTCAATTATTGTAACACAAGACTTCAATTCGAATCGTCGTTCTTGCACTACTTCTTTTGGGTTCTTTATCTCCAAAGGATCCTTTAATTTATTTATCTCCAAAAGCTTTCACTAGGCAACAATCCTCTCTT